ACACACACACACACACACACACACACACACACACACACACACACACACACACACACATTCCTCTGTGTGTGTGTGTGTGTGTCTGTCTGTGAGTGTGTCTGTCTCTCTGCAGTGCAGTTGATAAGGCTCTGCTGCTATTAAAGGGAAGGCGTTTATCTCACAGTCCCGCCGCTGACAGCTCTTCAGGGCTTTCCCTGCAACAGACAGACTGACACATAGTCAGAGAGACAGACGCACTGCTCATATTTTTCAGTCTCTCGCTCTGACCTTTATAAGTAAATACATTCATAATATTATTATTATTACCAGTGTTGGGGGTAACGCATTACAAGTAACTCAAGTTACGTAATCAGATTAAATTTGCTTTACTTTTTCAAATAAGTAAAGCAAGTTTGTCTTCCCATTCATTCACTGACAGCTTTCCTGTCCCTGTGTTGAGAGAAACTGGGAGTAAGTGCAATATGTGAAGGGGCCTTTACAGCTTCCAAAAATATAACTCTTTTGGGTTTTTGTTATTAAAAATATATATAAAAGCAAGCCCAGCCACGATGAAAAAAAGATACGCAAAAGTAATGTAACGCATTACTTTTCATAAAAAGTAAATAAAAAACTAAGTTATGCAATTAGTTAACTTTTTAATGGAGTTACACAATATTGTAATGCATTTGTAAAAGTAACTTTTCCCACACTGATAATTACTTTTATTTATTTGTTTGTTTTTATTTTTTTAACCATAAAACGAATAGCAGATGACAAAACCTGTCCAAGTTTCATCGTCCACTTTCTACTGGCTTTCATTTTAATTTTATGTTGAGTAATTTTACCAGCTTTTTTATTCTTAAAAAAATATTTCTATTTAAATAGATTTTTAGTTTTAGTTTTAGCAATTTTAGTACTTAAACTTCTATTAGTTGCCAAAGCAACATTACTTAATTACATTTACGTTTTTGACGTTAAAGTTTTTATCTAATATTTACAATTTATTTTATTTAACTTTTATTTAAATTAACAAAATGTATTTATGACAACAACACTGGAACACCTTGATTTAAAAGAATGCGAGTGTCACAAATTTTGTGTGGTTTATCCACTAAATATTTTATAAAATAAAATAAGACATATTCGCAGTTGTGCTTCTCAAATAGAAGCATCTTGCGTTGCGTATTTTTCCATCAAAGCAGCAGAAAGCAGCTGACACTCACGCTGTCGGAGATCTCCAGCACCGCCAGCACGAAGAAGACGTACTCCTGTCCGTTCAGCAGCTGCTTGTTCTCGAAGTCTCCGTACATTTCGGCGTCTCCCAGCGTGAACTCGGTCGGCAGCTCGCGGAAATACGCCGCAATGTACGGCTTGGGCTCCATCTGCCGACGGAAGCGAAGAGCGCGACTCGTTCGGTTGATTTCTCGCAACAGCTGAAAGAAACACGGAGAGAAACGAATGATCAGCCCAGCACACAAACACACATTCTGATTAGATAGTATTTATTCATATTCTGAATTACCTTTTATTTTTATATTTTCAGTTTTTATTTTAATTTTAGTTTATTTTACAGCGGTGGCCAAATGATTGAACACTATTATTCTCAGCAGCTAGAAATGGTTTTACCTGTTATTTCTATCTTTTGCTGTAGTGTGTCAGTAGGAAATATCAGTTTACTCAATCCAGAAGAACTGTGTCTCCAAGACGCTTCAAGAGACCTACCTGCAAAGCTCCTGAGAAACTCTGGAAAAAAAGCTGCTTTAAACACAAAGGATGCTCATGCTAAATGTTGATTTAATTTAGGTAATAGAAGTTAATTGATAAGAAAATCTATTAATGGCATAATTTTTGACAGCATCCTCATTTTATAGCATTTTTACACAAGTGCCTAAAACTTTTCACAGTACTGTAGCTTTGCAGGAGGTTTCTTGAAGCGTCTCGGAGACACAGTTCTTCTGGATTGAGTCTGTCTCAGTTTGTTCTGTTTCTTCATGTGACTCCAGAGAGACTGATGATGATCAGATCAGAGCTCGGTGTGCAGCACAAACACCTCACTGCATTATTACAATTAATGGCTAAGTGAATGTTTGGAAACGTAAAAAGATATTTCCTACTGACACACTACAGCAAAAAATTAAAATAACTGACTTAAAACCATTTTTAGCTGCTGAGAATACATGTGTTCTAATACTTTTGGCCAGCACTGTGTGTGTGTGTGTGTGTGTTTGTGTGTTTGTGTGTGTGTGTGTGTGTGTTTGCGTGTGTGTGTGTGTGTGTGACCTGTTAAAGGCACAATATGTACGATTTTTTTATTAAAATATCCAAAAATCACTAGAACAGTGTTATATATTTTTTTACTCTTAAAACACCTGTCCAGTAAATGTCATTGTGGCGTTTGGTCTGATGTTGAGGGAATGACGACGATTGCAGTGCTGACGGTGTGTTTTCTTCATTAACCGCACGCACTGAACTATCAGTAACCAGGTTTGCAGAAGCGCCTCAGGCCAGCTGGCGTGGGAGGGGCGTGTCCAGACATCGGCCAATCAGAACGCAGATCTCTGCATGGTGCCGCCCCTTCCTGAGCAGCAGTCTGGCACAATTCAGAGGAAAACACTCGCCGCAGAAAAGCCCTTTCAAACATTCACTCCGGCTAAAAATAATACCGAGCGTTCGTCTGGAACGATAACGCAAACTTCCTCTATCTCTCGCCCTTTAGAGGGGAGAGGCTTTGGTTCCCGTTTCCATTAGCGTGCAGGAGCAGATGTGCATATGACTGGGACTCGCTGCTTTCTTCTCGAATAACTGCTCGTAGCTGCATTGGGAATCATGTCCTCACAGGGGCCGCTGCCTGATCAGTAAGGCCTAATATATGGATGCAATGAGTCTAAACGGTGGATCGGGCGTCTCTTACCTCTTCCAGATTCATCTCATCCGGACTGTCCCAGGGTTTGATGAACTTTCCGGGCCGCTGTTTCTTCAGCGGCACCACCACGATGTAGTAACCCCTACAGAGAGAGCCAGACAGAGTCTATAAGGTTGTGTTGACAGCATCAGGACATCCATCAAGATTAGCTCCAATCAATCTGGACTTTCCAATCCACTCGGGATGACACTGGATTAACCACATGTTTGACGAAAGAGAGCGATCCTCGGTAAACACATCAATAACCTGCCAACCTCACCGCGCTTTAGTCTAGTTTCACGCTGCTGGGTTCACACACACTAACGAGGGTCTCTGATAGACAGAACGGCCAAAAACAGCTCAGCATTCAGCTGTTACTCTCATCTCCTTCTAAACATGTATGACTTTCTTTCTCTCAAGAGACACAAAAGAGATATCTTGAAGAAAGCTAGTCGCTCTTTTTCATGTAATTAATACAAATGTGGTCTGAGAAACTCTTTCTCTGTGTAAGTATTCAGGTGAACTTTCCCTTTCATAATGACAGACAGCTCTTCTAGAATTCCCATAATCCAACACAGCTATAATATTCACAATCACAACAATATTTCTCAACCAGCACGGTCTTAAATCTGGCAGAAATGTTTGCTAGTCACTAGTATTATTGACTCAATCCATTTTGATTGCTCAAAACAGAGGCTGATTGACCATTTTATTTTAGGTAACACTTTATTTTGATAGTCTACTTTAGACATTCTGCTAACAGTAAGTAACTTTGCAACTACATGTCAACTAGCAGTCATTAGAGTATTAGTAGACTGTCTGCTTAATATCTTCTAACACTTTATTTTGATGGGTCCACAACATACAACATACAAGAACATAAGAATCTTTGAAAGTATATGTCAACTTATTCTACTAAACCTAAACCTAACAGTCTACTCTGAGAGTTAGTAGACATGTAGTTGCAAAGTTACTTATAGTTAGTAGAATGTCTAAAGTGGACTATCAAAATAAAGTGTAACCTTATTTTATTTTAATTTTTTTTTTAAGTAATTAACTTTATGCATTGGTATTTACAGAAACATCAGTATCGGAGGTCTCAGGATGCGCCACGAAAACAAAAACTGATATTTAATGCTTCAGGGTTATTGTTGACTGAAACTAAAACTCATTACTTGAAATAAAATAAACATTGACTGAAATAAGTAAATATAACCACAGCACATATTTTACTTCAGGTAGCATTTCTCATTTTCTCTTATCAGAAAGTATAATTGTGTATCAGTGACACTAATATAACCCTGCAATGCACATAACAAGGTACATAAACACACACACACACACACACACACACACATATATATATATATATATATATA